AATTGACTTTCAAAAGCGGTGGACTCGACAAGTGTTGAGTCGCTTTATAACTCGTTCCTTACATCAGTACTTCACGTCGGCACGTGGCCTTGAACTTTTTGAAAACCCATACATACCGGTCTAACCAGCCAGCATTTGAATCAGGATTTTTTTAGGCCCGAAGATTTCAATGGGAACTTATTCATGACTAATGAATAAATTCCCAGTGGATGAATAAAGTTTTGTCTAGTTCTTATTTCAATTTCTCAGGAAAATTCCACTTTATAGGGAAAATACCAATGACGGATTATATGAATGTATCAGCGAATAATGTACGATCTATAGGAAGAGCCTTTTATCTCCATGGTCAGGAGGGCAATATAGGCGTGTGGTAAGTGCAATCGCTCTTACAAGTTTTAGGCGCTAATCCAAAGTGAGTCTGCAGTCCAGAACGTTGCGAGCTGAGATATACCCATAACGGAAGATGGACAGGGCAATCGCAATTTGTCGCGCGCGACATATCGTGCGACGGTGCGCTGCAAATTCTGGACGTGCATAAGTTTGTCGATTGGAGCAAAGAAACTCCTATTAATTCAAGTGGATACAAGACTCCATGTTTCCATTCCTTTGAGGCTCATGTGCGAATGGCCAGACAGGACAACTCGCCCCTCGGGCGCGCCGTCGCTCGTTACGCCCACCAGCGCGGCATATTGCACTTGTCTTGTCACATATCCGTCCCGTGACCTTATTATTGACCTGAAAAAGAGGAAAAAAATCCCAGGGTTAACGAAATGTGGAAACCCAAATGTGTCGAAGAAATGGCGTGAGAGGTGTGCGTTGTAAGGCTGGGTCAACGTCTATAGCACTGCAGCGCTGTTGAATGGTGGCGCGTCGTAGCGCGTCGACCGTGCCAACGCGAAGTCTGAATGCTGCCGAGGAAGCGATTTTGTCGTCATTGACGTGACATGAAATGTCATATGCCATGTCCTGGCATGTAACGTATCGTACTGCGGACCTTTCTCGGTAAACAAAGGACGCTGTTTGTCGACGGGGGGGGGGGGCATTTTGTACTATCATTGCTTCCTCAGTTCCGGTTTACATGTCTCACTCTGGCGAAACCTGTGAACTCTTGTGAAGCTGGAACAAGGTAGTCAAGCCATCATGTTAAAACCTGTCAACTCGAGAAGAGGCTGTCTAGATAGGCCGACACGTCGATGGGAAGTAGCAAAAGTGCAAAATGCCCCCCTCCCGTCGACAAACTGCGCTTAAATAAAGTTAAGGATGTAAACTCTTCCATGAATTCTGTACTGAGTGGGCGGAGTCATCGAGCGCGGAGCTAATTGTGGCGACGTATGAAAATTCATTCAGCAATGGTATATGTTCTATTATTAGTGGGAATCGTGAAACTGAATAGTAGCTAGATTGTGGATAATTCTTGTGTACGAAATTATGTATGTTTCGGGGGGGGCACCGAGAACTACAGCACGCCAGAATAATGCGGATGGCGCTTTGCGAAAGATGAGACAAGCACAGATTTCAAGACGTATGAGTGCTATCAACGATTTCCAGGCACATGCTCCCAAAGTCCATGTCGGCTGACTATCGTGAGAAGGGTATTCATCCACCTGATGATGAGATGGAAAAATCTTTATCACTGACACAGTAAACCACCAATTGTGCTGTCACCTTACATCGGAATTCGTTTGACAGGTGTGTTTGCTTAGCTGTGGATCTTTTTCGTGTTGATTTCGGCTTTTCCAGAACAATTGCACATCGTGTTGAGTTGTATAATTTGTTGAATAAACTGGACTGTCACGTGGTCACATTCGATTATCGAGGTACTGCTCTTTGAATACTGCTTCTCGGCAATAGATAGTCACAGTCTTGTTCGCTGCGGACGGAGGGGTCTTGTTTCTGAACCCCACTCCCCATTCAGTCTCTGATTGTATCTTTAAGGAGTTCAGAAATCCGCATCAGAAATCCTGTTGAAAATTCTTGACAGTGAAACCTAATATTTAACTTTTCCACTCTGTAATGTCAGTTTTCAAGAAATCAAGAATGTTGTTAACGACTTTTCAGGCTACGGTGACTCCGATGGAGATCCCAGCGAAGCCCGGTTTGGTCAACGATAGTCGTGTTGTTTATGACTACGTGAAAAATCACTGTAAAGACAACATAATCATCGTGTGGGGTCATTCAATGGGATCCGGGTGAGTACCTTTTTGTGCACTTTTAGGCGCTGTTCGGCTTGGAAGGGGCATTTTACACTTGCACAAGTTCCTTTTGTCAGTTCATGTTAACTAATCAGGTCGCATTTTGGCGAGAATTGTAAGCTCTTGTGAAGCAGCGAAATGGTATAAGTGAGCCACTTTGCTTACAAGAATCTGCAGGTTTTCACAAGGTGGCCCGTACAAGCTTCGCTGAGTACCGTTTGGTCCTCCGCCCAAGCCGAACTGCGCCTCCGCAAATTACACCCCAAGTATTTTTCGATTTTTTCCTTTTTTCACACTTTTTGTTTTTTCTTCACTTTCTTCGTTCAGCTGCAGAATAATGATGTTCATTTTCCAGAGTATCAACAAGGTTAGTGATGGATCTTTCCGTTGAGGGGATTCCACCTCATGGCCTCGTACTTGAGTCTCCGTTCAATAACCTCAGAGACGTGATCATGAACCATTTGTTAAGCATAGTGAGTTGCTCGTCCTTTTCTTTCAAACTTGCTTCTAGCTTCAAATTACCTACACTTCAGCCGGTGCGATGGATGCCCGAAAGTATGGTTCAAAAAATTCTCATACAGCCGTTACGTGATGTTGAGTTGAAAATGGAGACAGATAAGCGTATAAAGGCGTGAGTTCCTTGCCTGATTTTTTGTCTTTGGCCTCAAATGGGCTCTGAAGGGGGGGGTATGTGACACGACAATCAGAACATCTCGCGCTAATGGGCGTGGCAGGCGACGCCGCGACTGACAGACGAGTTGTCCAGCCCGGCCGTTAGAATTTGAGTGTTAAATCGACTGTAAAATCCGAAATTGTCGTGGAGTTTTGTCTCCGCTTGAATACCTATGAGTTTTGCTGCTACAATCGAAAAATTGATACATATGGAGAACTGGCCGCGCACCGCCGCAGTACCCCGCACACGACGTCGCGAGAGATTATGATTGTCTTGTCCGTCCCCCTCTGAAGGCAGCTTAGTATTATATTTGCAGTATTACTTGTCCGATTTTGATTTTACATGCGGAGAACGATCATGTTATTCCAGTCTTTCTTGCTCGAAAACTTAGGGTAAGTGCTGATTTGTAAATTAAAAGTCCTGATTATCCGTTTTTCTTCTTTGGTAATTCTCTACTGTACATTTTCCCTTTCCTTCTTCTTCCTTTCCTGTTTGAAGGACTCTTTGGCAAAACCTAGATAGGAGAAAGTAGTCATCTCCTCCTCTGTTTCCGTAGGCAGAGAACAACTTCTTCTTCTAAGCCTTCCTTTCTCGACGGATCGGTTTGACTAACGGCCTTTTAATCAGGCACTCCTTATGTTGAGATCTCAAGCGAGGAGAGGTCGTATTTTGTCAGTGGAGGGAGACAGAGGTCTTAATTACTCGTGAGAAAAAATGTTTTCGGTCACTGACTTTTCTGCTCTACCCTCCCCACCTCACCCCTCCCCTCTCCCCGGCATTTTTTTTGGGGGGGGGGTGGGTGGAAACTGTGGAATCCCTCCGTAGAAGTGCCTGAAGGTTGCGTAGAGATTGAGAAAAAAAAATTGGAGATGGTGGGTAGGATAAGGGAAGGGACTCGTATTTCGCAAAACTTTCCTAACCGTAGGTCGTTCCTTGCTTTGCATGTCTCTGTCCCTTCGCCCAACATGCCCCACTTCTGTTCCAGTTTTTCAGAAAAGGTTAAAAAAATGAGTCAGATGTTTTCTACAGTGCCTGACGACCGGTAAGACTCTTCATCCCATTTTGAAGGAATTCATTTAGGATGAGGCATTGGCTGCCTCTCGTGATGTCCAGTACGTAGAATTTGAAGAAAAACGGAATTATAAGCACAAGTTCATTTATATGGCTCCTGAACTATCGACGTTAATTCCGTGAGTTTTCCACGTTTTCTAGTGGTTTTTTCACTATGGTTTTGCTTCTTTGCGGTCACCGGGGCGTTTTAGGGGGCTGGGTTTGGCGCGGCGACAGCCTATTGTCCACACATTGTGCCTGCCAGCTTTCACAATTGGTGAACAATAGGACAAAACTCTGCACAAATTCCGTTTCGCGTCTTTAGCTTATTCCTTCAACATGTAGCTGATCTCTATTTTGAAATAATCTGGGCATGGACTGTCTTGTGCATAATTCCCACTAGAACTAATTGCATAAAGGAACAGCTATAGCTGAACTCACTAAAACACCACCAATTGAGCTGAAGAGGCCATCATAGTACCTGCCGCGCGCCGTCGCACGGTACACCGCGCGCGACGACGCGACAATATACGATTGTCTTGCCCATCTTCCCCTCACTCGCGGCCAAGTGATTGAGTTATGGGTTTAGCGTTTTGAGAGCGTCTGATTGTACCTGTCACATTTCAGTGCTTTCATCGAGCATACAAGAGAAAGAGCAAGTTTGCGTGATTCTTTGTGATCTGTTAAATTATTTGTGGTCTCAACGCTTCCACGGATTTCATTTGTGATTGGGTATTGCTTTATTTTGTATGTCCAACAGTGGCCTTGATTTGCTGGTTCTTATCGAGGTGCTCTGTGTCTTTCTCTGTTATATTGTACATTTACTGCATTTAAAAGATGTTGAGTGAAAGGTATCTATGCTATCTGAAACTCCCTGTAATAATATTATTAATGAGCATACTAGGAAGATATGATTGATATTCAATAATGAGTTCTGTAAATACTCGTTAATGTGCTTCCACGGGGTGACGTTAGGTTCAAACCCCAGCAGAGCGATGACTAGCGTCTATCAGTCTTAACAATGCCTAGGAGTAGCTCATTTCGGGGCGAAGGCAGGTGCAGGTGCGTCTTGCTGACGCGGGCAATCTCGCGTATCACTAGCTAGGTATGACCCAACCGCCCAGATATACCCTCCATGGCAAGCGTGCGTTGGCTGCGCTTCCGGTGGCGATATTCATTCCAAGATAATTGAATAGTGCATTGTCCAGGACGAAAGCCAAGCATGACCATTTGCCTGATGCGAAGCGCTTCTACGAGAAACGCCGGTTCAAGTGCAGTGCAGAGCCACGCCCCCCTCCATCTCTGATGTATGGAGTATGTATTCGGCCATAGCAGCCTGCCGAGGCAGCATTATTCCCCAACAGCTGCGATTGCGTATGCTTTAACCATAACCTTAGGCAGTATTCAGGCGTCGGCGAGGCTCGCTGTTGACGCCGCTGCGACCGTGCTACCATTTGCAACGCCGTCATCTAGCCTGAGAACCGCAGCCGCTAGACGTAGCCCGCGCCGCTTGTATCTGGAGCCATAGCAGGGTAGGCTCCGGTTGTGCGTATCGCGTCGGATCGGTCGCGCCTGTCACAGAAATCAGCGTCATTGCAATAGTTGCCGTGGAGTTTGAGCGCTGGCCGTTTACCCTGGCAAATTATACTTGATCGGGAAATATGCGAGTAGCTAGGGTTGTACGTAGCAGCTGCATAACCTATTCCATCGACGCGGCTTCGAGTCAGCTAGCTAGTACAAAGCTGATCGCCTGCGTGTGATCCCCTGCTTCCTGACCTTTGTCGCCTCTTACCAGCCACACCAAAGCCCTTCCGTTACCGAGATAAAGCCCAGGATTTGCTTATGCGCGTTTATCACGGCTTCCGACTTTGAGCATGTACTGGTCGTCTTGCAGCGTTCAAGTTTTGTCTCTTCCCCAATCTTGACTTGCGTGTGCTATCGCGAACGTCGCCGTCCTTATGTACCCCAAAAATCCCATAGATAAGAACGGTCCATAATAAGAGCGGGTCGCTAGGAATGAAAATTGACGTTTGTATACGTTTTTTTGGCGTTGTGTGCTCATGATTATCGCAATAATAGCCTACAACTCTACCTTTATTCTTACTGTTTTCTATACTCTTTCTATCCTGTATCACCTGCTATGAAACGTCGTAAATCGTATACAGCAGCTTTCAAGCTAGACGCCGTCAATTATCGTGATTTGCATGGAAAGAGTTTAGATTTAGAGTTGAAGGGGCAGAGCTCTTCTTAAAACTTCTCGAGCAGCCTACCGGGGCAGCAGTATTCCCCACAGCTGCGATCGCGTATGCCTTAACCATAACCTTAGGCAGCATTCAGACGTCGCGATGGCTCGCGTTGACGCGCTGCGACGTGCTACCATTGCAAAGGCGCTCATATAGCTGAGAACGCAGCCGTAGACGTATGTCTCCGCGCCGCTTGTATTCTGAGGGAGTATAGGAGAATAGGAGGGTAGGCTCTGGTTTGGTATCGGTCGGTGCCCGTCACCAATAAAGAGCGCCATTGCAATAGTTGCGACGTCATCGTGGAGTCTGAGCGCTGGTTTACGCCTGATCAAATTACTTGATGGAAGTATGTGATATAAAGACCCTGAATACCTGCGGCGAGTCATGTTCCAATTATGAATTTAACCCCTACATACCTCATTACGGTGGCCGCAATGACAGCTGTGGAGAGCAGTGGCGCTAGGCTGGTACGTAGGCTGCCATAACCTATCCATCTGACGGGTCGAGTCAGCTAGCTAGTACAAGCTGAATCACGTATGATCACCTTTGTCGCATCTTACCAGCCACACCTGGCAAAGGTAGATGGGGGCTAGTTAGCGAGATAAAGCCGGGGTTTTGTTATGCGCGTTTATCACGGCATCCTACTTTGAGATGTACTGGTCGTTTGAGGGTTCAGTTTGTCCCTTCCCCCGGATCTTGACTTGCGGTGTTTATCGGAACGTCGGGTCCTTATGTACATGCTTTGTAGCGCGTCGCCAGCTTGCTTACATTAATAGCCTGAAGCTTCATCGTGGCAGCGACTGAAGGAAACGGGCTGGCGCCAGGGTAAAACGTGACGCAACGCGAAAACGCCTCCACCCGACGCTTCTTTACCTATGAGGTACGCAATGGAAGTGTAAACTGGAATTGCTGTAGGGAAGACATAGATCTCACAAAAACTATGCGGTTAATAACGTCGCAATAGAGAGGGAGGGGCTGGGCGGCGTCAAGAGGGGCGGAATGGGTTCGTGTGCTCGCCATTATGTTCGCATCTGGGTTTTGGAGTACATCATGTGCGGCTATGCAGAGCTAGATGCTCTCTGTGAAAAGCGAGTACCCCTTCTGTAATCTCCACCTTTTTCTGAAGATGTGCTGTCATTCCCATGCTTACTTTCCGAGCTCAGTAAAGGGAAGTCTGTCCGCACAGTCAACTTCGATCACACTGGGGTCATTCATTAGGCAATTTCTATTTGTACACTTTCGTCATTGTCGTCATTTTTGACGGTGAGGACGATTATTGGCGGATGAGCGTAGCCGTGAAGTTGTTCGTATGATCGTAGCTGTTTCATGACATGTACGATCAGCACTGACAACAATGCCCACACTGCAGGAAGTATGAATTCCAACGCAACAAAAGTCTGGAAATATATAACAGAGATCGTTCGGGAATAGAAAGGAAGGGACTTACTCGGTCTTCACTAGTGGATTTCACTCGGGTTAGCGTCTTGTTATAAGCTCGTACTGTCCATATGGCCGCTCTGAATAATGGGAGTGTGAATGAATATGAACATCTGAAGCGTAGGGAGTCCCGCCTACAATGGTGGATGGCGGTCTTGCGAAGTAGGTTGGCATCCAGATGCAACATACCTCAAGGAAGAATTCTTGAATCAACCTTTGTGATGGGCCTATGTCGCTAAGAAGAAGTGATATACCTGTATGATTAAAAAAAGTAGCTGGATCATGGTGCAGGGCAGAGTAAGAACGGGTTTCCGGGTCCACATAGCTGCTCCAAGTCCCAGCACGCAAGTGAAGATGTCGCCGAACATCCGAGCCACCTACAACTTTTTAGAATCATTCTTCTTTGCGGATGTTTTTTCAGCGGTGCCTGAAACGTATGCCCAGTGGTGCGCGGGGGGGAGGGTTGGGGGGTGAGGAAGCGTCAGCGCTCCTATGTCTTTCCACCTTCTCACAGGTTACTTACTCTTGATTAGCAGAACGCATGTGGGTGAAGTACGTACGACCAGTGTCGCCGTGGAGCTTCACAGGCAGGCACAGTCGCAGGCTGCCCGCCCCTCCCTCCTTCTCTCCATCCCCCAAACGGATATGTGGTCATTCAATCGTGAGATGCCGCATTGTGGCGAGCGACGGACGAGTTGTCCACGCTGGCCGGTTGAAAATGAGGGTTAAAAGAAGCCCCCCGTCTTCCCTAAGTGCTTCCTTCTTTGAAAAACTTGTACGAAAGTGCACCGGTCCCTCTCCTATCCGTTTATCTGGCCGTAAATGAAATCTTGTCAATTTCCAGACTACACATAGGGGAGCTTTGACGTGATTTGAAATTCTAAAAAGCAACTAAAAAAGACTGCACTCACAAGATAGTATACGTCGAAACTCTGGAAATTCTTGTAAAATCGCCATGAATTTGGATTTTCGGCGGTGTCATCTCTGAAATCACCATTATATGAAATGTAAAGGGAAGATTGAAAGTTGGTTCAGACCTATAGCTCATAACTTCATTACGGTGGATAGCACTTCGACTACCACTAAGGCACACTGGTCGCATGGGTGGATACAGTCAACTACTGCGCCGTCCTCATTGGGCCATTTCTCCTTCTTACCATTTCTTCCAGCTTTGGAAAACTGAAATGCACCATTGAGGAATGTGCGGCGGTTGGCTGTTCCCGCCCACGCGACAATAGTGGAATGTGCCGTCAATGGAGCTTTGGCTTGAGGGGAGGGGGAAAAACTCTAGCTAAAAGCAGAAATGAATACGCTTTTGTCTCAGAAGGGAATACTCAAATAAAACACCCTAACTTTGCAAAATTCAAGGTACACTCTGCGAGGAGTAAGTCTTTTATTTCTCACGAAAATTCGCAGCTAGCCAAAAGAAGAAAAAACACACAGCACAAACCTTAACAGATATGCCCAATGCATAATGTCCACAAGGCAGAGAACAATGAAAATTGCCTTTCAGCATGTAGAACTGACGTTTTGGGTTGAACGAGGACCACGTCTGGAAAGTGCTGTGATTGAGAATATGGACTAGTTTTCCATTATCGTAAGCATAACGTGAGAATAGAGCCTACCCAGGTAATCTTAACTGTTTGATAGGGTCCTCCCTACCATAGGTGAGGTCGGGAATCGCCATTGACAGTTCTCAAGGAGGGTGGCCAGAGGAGGGGGTTTGTATTTTGGAAATTTGTTGCATTTTTTGATGAAAGGGACTTGTTCTAGGATTTTATGCATTTGAATTGGGCTCTGGTAGCGATCGGATGAGCAGTTTTTATTCTGACGGTTATCCGGGGTGCTGGTCAGGAACGAAAGCAACATTACAAGCAGGGCACGCCATCGTTGTGATAATCACAACGGCGAGGGTCGTCTTGACCGCGAGGGAGGGAGGGGTCGTATTTGGTCTGAGAAAAATTTTTTTATAGTTGATTTCTCTTATTTCACGGGCGCC